TCTAACTCAAAATTTACAGCTATGGAGAAATTCCCAGGAAGGAAATATATGGCCCAGAGGGGCCCATCCATAACCCCCTCATCAATAGAGAGCACATTATCTCCCACATGCCATGACCTGCAGCAGAGCCAGGAGATCTGTCATCCCACCAGGGCGCTGGTGACAGGAATCCAGCACTCACCCTGGCTCTTTGACAATGTAACAGGAAAATCAGGTGAGTGTTGGACGTAAATCTGATAGTGGCTCAGTCCCAGGGGATCACAGATCTGCTGATAGCGAGGAAACGGGGCGATGGCCCCATCACCTGATGGTGGGGACACACAGGCAGCAGCACAAGTGGCATAGACTGAAACTCAGAAAGAGGATGTGAGCTGTGAGCTCCTGGCTGGCCCAGCACAGAGACTGGCAGAGACATGAGTGTCTGAACCACCTGTGTCTGTTTATTTTGTGTCACTTTGAAGTCATGGGAGGGTCAGGGCCAGGGGAGGGCCACCCCTTGGGGTGCTTTGGGCTCTGCAGGAGCTGCTGTGTCTTGCAGGGGGACCACTCAGTGGGCAAGTACCGATGCCTCCTGTGCCAGAAGGAGTTCAGCTCCGAGAGTGGCGTCAAGTACCACATCATCAAGGCTCACTCGGAGGTAAGGAAGCAGCTGGAGCTGGGCTGGGCTGGTCCCTGCTCCAACACATGCACCTTTGGGCTGTCCCTTTCCATCCATCCATCCATCCATCCATCCATCCATCCATCCATCCATCCATCCATCCATCCATGTCTGTTAAGAGCAGAGCTGAGTAACAGCTCCCAGTCAGCCTGGGGTGTTCTTCCCTGTCCCCCTTGGTGTCCCTGATATCCCCAGGCTCATTGCAGCAGCTCAGCACCGAGCAGTTTGACTTCAGGTGATGCCCATGGGGTGAGGGGTGGGTCAGGCTCGGGGTGTGTGTGCTGGTGCTGGTACCGGTGCCAGTGCCTGCCCCCACGACTGTCACTAACCCCCGTGTCACCCCACGGACACAGAACTGGTTCCGAACCTCCTCAGAGGCCAGCCGGAAAAAGAAAAACAGGGAACAGCTTTCTTCCAGCAAAGAGGAGAAAAAGAAAAGCACAAACGGGAAGAAAAGGGGGAGAAAACCCAAGGAGAGGCCTCCGGAAATGTCCCCGAAGGGCAGAGAGAGCGTGGCAGCAAAGACTAATCACAAGAAAAGCCTCGAGCACTGGGAAGGCTCCCGGGGCAGCCCCGAGGGGGACGAACTCGCCCTCAAGCCCCCGAGCCAGCGGAAGGGAGGAGCCAGCAAGATGCCCGAGAAATGAGCAGCTCAGAGACTCGTCTCCGAGGATTCGTTTACAGCCCAGGGTAACAGGGTGGGGGTCTCTCCCAGTTTTATGTCCCTTCCTCCCCATCCCACCTCCTCTTGCCCCACCCTCCTCTCACCCACTTTTTACAAAAAGAAAGGAAAAAAAAAAAAAAGAAAAAAAAAAAGAGACAGAAAATACCAGTTAACCACTTTAAACAAATCACGGACCTTGTTTCACACTGGAAAACAAACAGGATCAAGGAAGCTGGAACGTTCTCCACCCCCTGCCCATGTACATACCCCTCGGTGGGGCCCCGCTGCCTCCCCCGGCCCGTGGCTCCCCTGCCCTGCGCCCACCTGGTGACGCTTGAGCGAAAGAGAAGTGCAATAGCAGCGGGGTCCATGGACCCTCCCCAGCGGCTCCGTGCCGCTCCGGGGGGAGCTGCCCCGCTGCCCGGCGGCTCCCAGCTCCGGGGTGATGTTCCAAAGATGTTTGACCCGGGCGGGCGGGGGGTCCGGCAGAGGATGCTGCGGTGGGCGGGAGCTGGCGGCGCTTTCCCTGCAGCCGCGGGTGGAGGGGAAGGTGCCGGGCAGGGAGCGGCTCTGAGGGCTCGGCAGGGTTTGTGTGCTGTGAGGCACGGGCAGAGCAGGGAGCGGGACACACGCTGGCGGTGTGGGAGATGTGAGCGGGAGAGGGGGTGCTCTGCGGCTGGGCAGGCTGGAGGGTTTAATGGAAAGTTGTGGGAATGCTGTGGGCACCGTGGAGAGCGGCATGCAGCCGTGGAGGGGGTGCGGTGAGGGAGCCGTGCCTCCGTGCTTGGGTTGTGTTTGCCGAGCCTGGAGTGCTGTGATGGCAGAGACATGATGGCAGTGCCAGGGTCAGGGGGACAGGGCAGACAACGAGCTGCCCCCCGGCCTGGGTGCATCCAAGGGTGATTCAGGGTCCCACTGTGCTCCATCCCGACGGTGCCGATCACCCAGCAGGGAGGAATGGAGTCTCAGTTCCCCAGCTGTGGCCACAGGAGGTGTGTAACAGAGACAATCATGGGTCCTGCTGTAGGATGAGCTCAGTTGCTGCCCAGGCACCTCACATTCCCCTTGTCCTTTTGGGCTGGGACCCACCATAGGAGTCGTCTCTGCTTCCAAAGATGCATCTGAGCCCCTGACCACCCTCCTCAGGGTGGCAGGTCCCTGCGGTGCCGTCCCTGCCTGTGCTCTTCCCTGGAGCTCTTCTTTGCTCCTGTGCTGACACTGTCATCACACCTTGCCCCTGCCCGGGGGAGCCATCCCTGGACCGGGATGTGCCCGTCTCCAGACAAAACCAGGCTACCTCGGTCCTTGGGAAATGGGCACGTTTCCTCTCAGTAGCACAACAGAAAACTTTAAATCGATTTTTCCCCTATGCAGAGCCAGGAAAGAGGCATCAGAGGGGGAGCTTCTGCTTTTGCTTTAATCAATTCAAACCTCAGTCCTTGCTTTCCTTCACTGCTCCTTGTTGCCCACCAGAGGCTCGGTATCTTTCCTTGCTGCGAGCAGCATCTCAGTCACAATTGACATCCTCCACTGGCAGGTTATTCCAGCCAGGGAGGGGGGACAGTGGTGGCTGAAGCCAGGGTGGCTTCTCAGGGAGCCTGGGCTCTTGCTCTGTCCATGGCTCTGGCACCTGGATCCACCCTCTGCATTGTCCAGCGAGCTGGGCACGTGCCTGCGGCTGGGGGAACTGCCTGAGCGTTGCTGGCTGCTGGGCCTCCAGGCAATTAGTGAGAAAGCTTAATTAGTCACTGCAGCTCAGCCTGGTCGCTGCTTGCACTTCATCAGATTGTGTTTGGATGGTGTCACTGGGGTAGATCCTGCTTCCCTGGGGAACAGGGAGAGCTTTGGGAGCTCTAGGACAGCTTGGAACAGCTCACAGGCAGCAGCAGGAAAGGAAATGCAGGCAGAGCTGTGGGCCTGGTACTGAAATCTGTGAGGGTGCAGAGGGAGCCTCTGGATCCCAAAATCATGTCCTGCCATGGAGAGAAGCCCCCAGGAAAGCTCCATGTCCTGACCTAGGGAAGGGAGATCTGGGTAGCCCGGGCTGCTGGCTTGGATGGTCATCACACAATCCTCACTGTCTCCTCTTGGGCATGTCCTGGGACTCTGTTCTCATTAACATGCAATTAATTGGCTTCTCATTGATTAAATTAACTGGCAGCACTGTGCTCCACAGGGGGGGAGCCCTGGGAGCTGCTCAGGGCAGGGTAGACGTGGGAAAGGGCCAGCTCAGGGGGTCATTGTGAGGTCCAGATCAAAATCCACCTCTGCTTCCATAATGAGTGTCTGGCAGGAGCAGGGACAGGAGCAGGGACAGCTGCAGTGGCCTTGCAAAGTGACACCAGCCTGGAGGGGACCCCAGGGACCATCTGGGGTCTCAGGGCAGGCAGTGGGAGCAGCGGTCCTGGTGCTGGGGCTGTCCCTGTCACCCTCAGAGCATCCACAGCTCCAGTGAGGGCAGCACTATGGTCAGGAGGGAATTTCTATAAGAAAGTGAAATCTTCAGGGTTTTTCCCCCCAAAAAAGGTGTTTTCCCCTCTAGTCATCACTCGGGGAGGAACATATTCCCCCCCACACACCTTCTCCATGAGACATCCTTTACTCTCCTGCTTGTTCAGGGAAGGTTCCAGAGCAATGCTGGGATCACCAGCACCTGCCAGTGCCACAACAGGTGAGCAGGCAGGGCCGAGTGACACCATAGTGGCACTGCTGGGGGCCAGCAGGTTGTGCTCCTTCAGCTGCTCCCAGTGAGGCAGTGCCAGAGGGGAAACCACTTTGATCCAGAGGGACAGGCAGAGGCTGTGGGACCAGATGGAGGACGAGTTGTCCTGTCCTCTTCCATCCCATCACCTTGGGAGTTGAGGATTTTTTCATCCTGGGCACTGTGACACTGTGGTCCTGCACCTCCAGTGTTGGGGAAGCCCACCATCCCATCACCCGTGTCCCCAGGGAAAGGGTTAAATCTCCATGGGAGCAGGCATGGACTGCAAGCCTGTGGGAAGACCTCATGGAAAGCTTGGATTGTGGGGAACCCTCGGCACCAACACCTGCCCTGGTGAGGTTGGCTGTGTCACACCAGCTCTGGCCACAGTGGATGGAGCTGCCCAAGCCTGGAGCATCTCCCACCCCCAGGAACCTTGAGAGCATTTTGTTCTTTTCTTTCTCTCCTCGTGACACCCATCCCACGGCATATCCGAATGTTTCTCGTCGATGCCAGTTATTAGTGCATAAGTGTATTTTGGGGAAAAAATTAAAACAGAAAAAAAAAACAAAAAAAGGAAAAAAATTTTCAATTTATCACTTGTAACCATATATATAAATATATAAATATATATATTAAAAAGTGTTTATTTGCAAAAAATAAAATTGTTTTAACGGTAAACTATCTTATAATAAACTCCCGATTTGTGATGATCTGTTCTTTTGTTAATCATTGACAAATCCTCAGTTGGAGAGTACTGTCCGAGCAGCTCCGAGCAGCGCCGAGGCGCTCCCTGTACTGTATGTATGAAACAGCTGTATCAAATAAATGGTTATTGATTTTTTATTAGCACTGTCGGCACCGTTATTGGGCAGTTCGGTGGGAGGTTGGACGTGGGATCCAGGGGGTTTGGATTTGTCCTTCCTGGCAGTGGCTGAGAGGATCCCCCCAGCTGCTGAGGATGGAGGTGCCATGGGGTGCCCCCAAAACCGGGATGGGGAAGGTGAGGGCACAGCCAGCACTTCTGGTGCCAGGGGGATCCCCAATGCCCACAGCCCCACTCCCATGGTAGAAATCCCCCTAAAGCTGTTTCCCATCCACCCATCCCATCAGCAGCATCCAGCGTGTCCTGGCCCCAGGGGCCACATCCAGCCCAGGACTTCTCCTCCCTGGGGAGCTCTGCGGGAGCCGCGGCCACCCCCCGGCTCTCCCAGCGTGGGAATAAATCTTCTTCTGCTCCCTAATGGCTTTTTTGGCACCGAACCCAAGGCAGGGACGGATTTAGACTGATCTCGCTGCTGGCTGAGAGCGCAGCCTTTCCCCACGGGCGCTCTCGCCCCCCAAGGACGGCTGCGGACCCCGGGGCGGTGCTGGCCCCCAGCCCCCGAACATGTGCTACCACGAACCTCAGCCCGGCCGGGATGGTGCCGAGTAAAACCAGATCCCAGCCAGCTCCCCGGGACCCCCACGGGGCCGGGGTCCTCCCAGCTCTCCGCAGTGCCCAGCGACATTGTCGGAGCCCGGGTCACACAAACCGCGCTTCCCCCCAGCTGCAGGATGATGGGGGATGCTGTGCGCTGCATCCCTCAGCGTCTTGGGCAGGGATGCTACTGCGGAGCCACCCACAGGTACCCACAGCATCACTGTGAGCCCCGCAGCACCCACCCATGTCCAGAACACCCACCTGTACCTCCGAACACCCACCCGCACCCCGCAACCCACCGCAGTGCCCTACAGCACCCAGCCGTGCCCACATAGACCCATCTCCCCGCACAGCCCTTACCCATGACCACAGCACCCCTCCGTGCCCCATCAGGGCACCCATCGGTGCCCAGATCCCCCCGAACCCCGCGCTCCGGCTCCCGCTCCCTCCCGGCCCGCACTACAAGTCCCGGGGATCCCCGCGGCAGCGCCGCCCCCGCCGCTCCCGCCTCTCCCCGCAGCACCATGGCCGCGGCCCCGGTGCCCGAGGGGGCTCCGGGAGAGCCGCACGACAGGTAAGACCCCGCTTGCTTTTCCCCGGGATAATCGCTCCGGGACGGGAGCGGCACCTCGGCGCCCCGGAGCCGCCGTTCCCGGTTTGCCGCCGGCTCCGGGGGTGGCGGTGCCGCTCCCGTTCCCCACGGTGCCACTTCCGCGAGTGGGGCCTCCCCGAGCCCATCGCTCCATGAAAGCCCTTCGCTTTCCCCACCAACCATTTCTTCCCACCCCTGCTTTATCCCTTGTTTATTTTCATCCTTTTTTCCCCGCTCCCTTTCATGTTGTTACCTTTTCCCTTGTTTACCTTATTTTATGGGTTTTGCCCTTAATTTCCCAGCAGATAAGCCACAGCCTCCCATTTTCCAAGCTTGCTCGCATATGCATCCTCTCCATCAAGATGAAGAGTGGGACAACCTAAACTTTTCCACCCAAAACCCCCATACTCATACAGGGTGATTGCCCTCAGCCCCCACACACACACTCACTCGTGTTTCCCCTTTATTTTCAACCCCCTTTTTCAGAACAAACCTGAGGGGACTGACTGCTCCCAAACATCAAATATCTGGGAATTGCATTTGGAGCATCACTGGTGCTCTGGGGATGTGGCAAAGCTTACAGGGATGGAGCATCCCTGTATCCCTGCTTGTAGGGTACCAACACCCCACAGCACCGCCCCACCAACCCTGGAGTCAGTGCCAAAGTATCCCTCCTGTTCCCATCTTTCCTGTTCCCATCCCTCCTGTTCCCATCTTTCCTGTTCCCGTCCCTCCTGTTCCATCCTCCATGTTCCAGCAGCTAAGCCCATTGCTGTACCCTTCCTGTGAGTCAGTGGTGGATAGTGGGGAGGACGAGGGTGAGGATGAGGATGGGAGGAAGGAGTCTCCCTGATTTGTGCTGGTTGAGAGAGGGATGAGTAACCGGGTTGTGTAACAGAGCCCCTCCACTGTGGCTCCCACTTGGTATAAATAGCAGCAGATAATTGGGTTTGCAGAGGGAATTGTTTGTCCTTTTGTGGTGAGGGAGCAGAGACCATAACAGAGCTGGAAGCTCTGAGCGTGGAGCTGCTGAGATGAACCATCAGCTCCAGGTGGCTCCAGCCAGGACAGAGCTTGGTACAAGGCTGGGTAAACTGGGAACGTCGTTCCATGGGTTTCAGGATGGGTATGGGCATGGCATGTGACAGAGGGATGGCAGCCAGGTGCCTCCATCCCTTGTGTGGGCTCCTCCATCCCATGGGCAGCTTCTTTGATCCCTTGGACATGTTCCTCCATTCCTTGGCTGTGTTCCTTCATCCCTTGGGGTGGTTTCTTTGACAGGGAAGGCCCAGCCAAGAGCTGGCACACACGGATCCAGCCCAGCTCAGCGATGGAGGAAACAGATTTGACCTCCACGCTCCTGTGGGTGCTGCTCCCAGGATGGGATCTGGGAGCAGGACCCTCTCCTGGGAACAGGCATTTTCCATTGGGGGCTTGGTGTATCTGCAGCTCTTACACCAATCCAGTGACACCACTTGTGACCAAACAAGGAAAATCCACATGCAGTCCAGCTTCCATCCTTAAATCCCAGGGGAAACCCACCCAGCAGCTGCCAGCACCAGAAGGAAAAGGGAACCCCAGGCCTTTGTGCCTGCTTTCCTCTTTTGCTATGTTTAAGTCTGCCATTAGAGGAGGGATTTGCTTAAAAATCACTGGAAGAAAAAAGTCCAAAACCCAGAAATTTTAACTTGTGCAGGAGCTCAGAAGCTGGGAAGGGGCTTGGGAGGCAGAGATTTGTGCCAGCGGGAAGGCTCAGTCACAGCTGGCCTTTGGAGCCAGGGTGTCCCACCTGGGAGCCCAGTGGGAATGGTGGGTGGGATGCTGGGAGAGTTGCTCCTGTTGCCTGGACGTTTAACAAAGGCAGGAAAAGTGGCAGCAGGAGCAGGCGATAAGGAACAATATCCCTGGGCCAGGGCTCCTCACCCGTGTCCCGCATCCCTTTGCTTTTTTGCTTCTTTAATGAGAAGGAACAGAAATGGCTCCGGAAGAGAATTTTATTTTTAAACTTCTGAGAGAGCTTTTACAGCGAGAGGGGAGTCCAGGGAGAGACCAGGGATGGAAAAGTTCTTTGATCATTGCTTGCTTCCCTGACGTTGGGGCAGCAACTGCAGCTCATGTTGGGGACAGGTTACCCCAAAACCCTCCTGTCCCTGTCCCCTGTCTCAGGACCAGCCCCTCATTTCTGGTTCCCATCAGGCTTCCTTCTTTTGAGATGATGCTCTGCAGGTCCCCTTGGTGAGCAGGAGCAGGAGCAGGAGGGGTTTCCTGACAAGTCTGGGAGGCAGTGTGTTTCACCTGCCTCTGGAATAACCTTGATGGCTCGAGGAGGAGGAGGAGGAAAGGGTCTTTTTCCATTTCTGGCCCCATCTCCAGGTGTCAGTTCTAAGCAGGAGGGAGCTCCCTCCCCAGAACCCCTCAGCAGTGGGTGTGCAGGGGCCAAGCTCCTGTCTCACCATGCTGGCGTCTCACTTGGTGGCCACGGGACTTTGTCCAGGTGCTCGGTGCCCCTGGCAGAGCCTGGCTGCCCTCCTGTGCCACCTCCTCCCTTCCTTGGCAGCCAGAGGCTGTGGGCTGAGGGCTGCTCTGCCCCAGTCTCTGCTCCAGGGCTGGCCTGGACCCCCCTGCCATGATGCCCAGCATCTCCCACCCTTGGCACGTGTCCTGCCCTTCAGCAGCTGCCTGGCTCCCTGGGCTTCCTGCAGTTTGCCCAGGCTCCCTGCCCTCCCTGGAGCTGGCTGGCCCGGGGGGGCAGGGGCAGCTGGCAGGGGTGCTGAGGGAGCGGATGGCCGGGCACGGCCAGCGGGATGTTATTCTTAGCCACCGGCAGCCCCGGGGTGTTGAGTTTCACCCACTTGTTTACTCCAGGGCTGAGGGGCAGCTCTTGGGGAAGCTAAGTGACCAGGGGGGACCCTCAGCCAGACCACCCACTGATGGTAGCCAAGGGAGAGGGGTGGGAGTCCTGGACCAAAAAGCCCTACAGGGGAGCAGCCCCTGGCCCCGAGCCCCAGCTGCTCCACCAGCTGCATGAGGGCTGATGGCTGGGTACCCCCTGCCCGGGGTCATCACCTCCTGCCCACTGCAGCCCCCTCCCCAGTGGTGTGGAGAAGTCCCTGGGAACTCACCAATGCCGGGGGATGTGGGTGTCACTCTCCAGGTGCCCTCCCTGCTGAGCCCACAGTCCAGGACAGCCGAACACCCCCAGTCCCAGCAGCAGAGGCACTGGGGCTGGTGTTTATTGCCTGTGCTGGGGGCGGTGAGGGGAGGTGTCACCTCATCCCCAGCCCCCCTCTTTTTCTTTAATCAAGCCAGTGCTATTAATATCAGGTAATGAACGTAATCTGGAGGTTAAGCTATCCTCTTATGCTGCTGACCGCCTCGCAGCTCCCGGGCGCAGACACTCCCCCTGCTCTGCTCCCTTCTCCTGCTGCCATCTTCCAGCCCCCGGCTCTGCTGGGGCTCTGCCTCACCCCGTTCTCTTGGGACCCTTCAGTGCCCATTCCAGGGGGACACTCCCCACATGGCTCTGTGCCCCAGGAATCACCCTGGGAGCCCCGCTGGCATGGCCCCTCCCTCACCCTGGTAGTGCCAGAGGTTGTGGGACAGGAGCAGAAGTGTGGACAGGGACGGGGGTGACACCCTCAGTCCAGGGTCACCCCTGGACCGGCGGCAGGGGGACATGAGCAGCCCCCCAGCCTTCTCCAGCGTCCGCATCTCCGGCTGCTGGGCCCTTGGGCCAGATGGCGGGTGAGTCTTGCTTTGGTTTTGGGTGGAATTTGCCGTTTTTTGTCTGTCTGTTTGCTGGAGTGAACTCTTGGTGGCTCCTGTCCCAGTCCCTCAGCCCCAATTCCTGTCTGAAAATATCAGCTTCCCACAGGACGTGGCTGCAGCCAGCCAGGCACCTCAGCAGGCTGTGGGGGGCTGCTGGGGGGTCCACAGGGCTGGGAGCTCAGTCAGTGGGTTGTTTACGGGGCGCAGAGCCCAGGACATGCTCTCCTGTCTGCTGCCAAGTTCAGGTTTGGGGCTGTGCCATCTTTCCTTTTTGCTGTGGGTGATTTTGGGACCTGCTGCCTTTGCTCTGCCAGCCCAGCATGGATCCAGGGTGGTCAGGGGTCTCTGAAGGCAGTGGGATGCAGAGAGCCTGAGCACAGGGCACAGGGATGGCGATGGGAGCGCAGTGGGGAAGGAGAGCACCTTGCACCTCAGTAAATCTGTGCTTGGACTAAGCAGGAGCAAAATGCTTCCTTCATTTGTGCTGGCAAAACAGCAGGGCTGGAGAGCCCTTCCCAGGAGCAGGACCCCCCCAGGCTTCCTCTGGGACACTCTGTCACAGCAGACCTCACATTAGAGATAGAAATGAGCCGAGACACACGCTCTTCAGCATGTGCCAAGGTCCTGGTTTATTCTTCCTCACAGCTCAGCCAACAGACTTCAGCTACTCACAGACTCTGACTACAGCAGGCTCCCACTGTGGGCTTCCCTTGCAGGCTCAGACTGAGCTCACAGCAGACCCCTCACAGCCTCACAGCAGCAATTCTCTCTCCTGTTTGGTCAGACCTCCCCCAGCCACCTAACCACTCATCCTTACTGGTCATGGCTGGGACCCATTAGGGCCAAGGCTGGTTTTGGTAATTAGCACATCTGTGGCTTATCCAGGTGCAAGGTTGCCTGTAATTCATTCTCCTACAACACTCCAGCAAGGATGCAGCAGCCATAGGGAAGGCAAAAGCATCCCCAAAAGCTGGTGACAGCCTGGAGAGAGCTGGTGGCAGCCAAGCCCTCCAGGAAAGCTTGGCAGGAGAGGGGTTGCCAAGCCCAGGTGATGTTTCCTTTCCTATTTGCATGGTTTTGGCACCCCAGGGGTTTGCTCTGCTAGGGAGGGTCCACGTGGACAAGGACCCTCGTCTGGGCAGAGCAGTGGCATTGGCTCCAGCTCTAAACAGAGTCCCATTCTCTGGGGGCTTCACCCTGTGGTACAGGGCATTGCAGGGGCTTCAGCACTGCTGCAGGGAATTTCTGAACAGGAGTAGGGAGAAATGGCCAGTGGAGATGGCTGAGATCAGCTAACCCTTTGGAGCAAGAAGAGCCCCTTCCTGGCAAAGGCAGCCATGGAAAACAGCTACAAATCTTGCAGTGTAACATTAGGAGAAAAGACATGACCTTTGGAGAACTCCAGGATAGCCCTACAGTCCCACAGCCATACTTGTCCCAAATAAATCATGGGAATTGTGGATTTGAGAGGTGTAGAATATCATCTGCCTGTAGAAGATACAGACATAGACGAGGCATAGAAGTACAGCTTTAGATGATACTGATAGAAATGTGTAGAATTTTGGTGAAAGTTCAGTATTATTTGGATGAGATAAGGCAGAGCACCAACTCTTGGGATAGGATTCAAGTGCTGCATCCCAGAGCAGCCCTGGGTGTGCAGGGGGAGGATGGCTCCACTCCTCTCCCAGGGACATGTCCCTGCATCCTGCAGCAGTGTCCCCTCTGTGCCAGCACCCTGGGTGTGCTGCAGGCACCCTGGAGAGTGGAGTGGAGAGATGATGGGAAAGCAAGGTGGGGCTGTGGCTGTAATTCTGGGCACTGGTGGAGCTCTTGGAGTCCAAGCCTCTTCCTCCCTGGAGCTGGCTGATGTTGATGCTGGTGGGAGCAGAGCTCAGCCTTGCTCCAGCTCCGAAAAAAAGAGCTTCATCCAACTGGGAGTCACTTTGGGAATGGTGGCCTGGGTCAGGATCTGCAGGCTGGCACAGCAGAGCTTGCTGCTGTGTGACACCAAGGAGCAGAGCAGTCCCTCGGGCTCTCCTGTCTTGTGGAGACTGACGTGCAATCCCAGGGGAGAAGCAGCCTGAGCAGCACGGCTCTGGAGCGAGCCCCAGGAGAGGGGCTGGGATATGGATGAAAGGACTCGCTTTCTCCTGTGGTAAACAACTGTGTTTGTGTCACCTCTGCTTTAATCCAGCCGAAAGTGACGTTGTTTGTGCCCCAGCACCCGCGGCTGCTGTCAGCCCCGCTCTGGGAGCAGCACCGCTGGGTAGCGGCTGCTGCAGCATCACCCGTGGCAGAGGAGACCCAAACATCCCGCCTGGGTTTGCTTCTCCTCGTGCAAGGAGCCATTTTTTCACAGGAATACACCCCAGAAGGTTTCCTGATGGGTGTCATCTCCTGAGGTTGCTTTTAAAAAGTTGTAGTTGGTGTGTTTTGGGCTCCTGGCTGAGCCTGAGCCTGGCAGTGCTTGGAACTGGCTCTGTGTGCTGATGGGATGAGGTGTTGGTGTCCTGAGCTCTTGGGGAGAGTTCCATGAGTGCACAGCTTAGGGTGGACGTGGGTGGGACAGGTCCTGTCACAGGGGCAGGAGCTGCAGCCTGGCTTTTGTTAGCAGGAGTTCAGCAAAGCCAGGCCAATCCCTGTCTCCTTGCCTGCTCCACAGGGATGTGCTGGAGGTAGGGATGGTGTGCTGTGGGCATCCTTTGCCAGGGGGATCCCACCATGCCCAGGGGGTTTGTTTGCCATGCAGGGGTGGGGGTTGCCTTGTCATTTCACACACATATGGCCCTTCTGAAATTTTGATCTTTATCTAAAATTGTTCTAAAAAGGGCTGGGGGAGGGAAGGGAATTAATCTTCATACTGAAACAGCTTAAAATCAACCCAAAATCTGTAAAGCCCCGCAGTTTAAGCCCTCTCAAGAGCAAGCCATAACAGAGCAGCAGCAAAGCCCTGCTGGCTCAGCTGGGCTGTACCAAACAGTGACAGCTTGGAGCCAGTGGTGCCCAGATCTCTTGATTTCCCTTCCAGCCCGGTCATGGCTGGGGTGAGGCACAGCATGAGCCAGGAAAGCCCTTTGCACTTTCTCCCAGACATCCCTCTGGGGCAGCAGAACAGGAGCAGGGAGGAGCAGGCACTGGTATAAATAATCCTCCCTGTCCCTTAGCTGGCCAGGCAGTGCTGCAGCTTATCTCCTGGCCAGAAGCCACTTATCACCTCCCAGCCACAGCTCTCCTCCTGCCAAGCTGGAAAGGGCTCTGGAGGGTGCCTTGTTCCTCTCCCTCTCCAGCAGGGAAGATAAGGGAGCGTGTTCAGCAGCTCCAGGGCTTTGGGTGAGCTCAGAGCACTCAGTTCCCAAGGCAAAGCTGATGGCTCTGCCCAGCTTGCAGGCTTGTCCCAGGGGGCTTCAGGACAGAAGGTTGGGAGAACAGGTCTTGGGTGTGAGTGGAGCACTCAAAGTGGGGAGAGGGAAGGGACTGGGGATGGGGGGGACAAGGATGGTTGTGCTGTAACCCATGTGTTTGACTGCTATCCCCAAGAAGGGTCCCTTGGCACGCCAGGGTGGGCTGTTGCCCCTGGAATACTCCTCAGTGCTCTGAGAGCTCACTGGGGGATTTATTTCACACAGACATTCCTCAGACAGCAGGACTTTAGGGATGGATGTTTGCACAGCACCTCTTCAAGGTTCACGTTGCTTCTGTGTGTGAATTCCTCGCTGCTGTCTGTGGCTGTGGGTCACGGAGATGTGGCTGCTGGTAGTGCTGCAGCGGGGCTGTGCTTGGCTGTCCCACCCTTCACCTGTACAACACGGGACCCCCAAAGACTCCTCTCCCACACAGGCACGTGTGTCCTTCCCCCCGGGGTCACTGTGCCCTTCCTCTCTGCAGCAGCAGCAGTGCTGAGTCCCTGGACCGGCTGTATCCCGCCGTGGGCTCCAGCAAGCCCCCCCGCAAGCGGACCACCAGCCAGTGCAAGTCTGAGCCCCCGCTGCTGCGGACCAGCAAAAGGACCATCTACACAGCAGGCCGGCCCCCCTGGTACAACGAGCACGGGACACAGTCCAAGGAGGCCTTTGTCATAGGTGGGTCACCTCTGCGTCCCGGCCACCTGCCCCGTGGCTCTCCCGGAGATCTTGGTGGGAGTTCTGCCCCACCGCCTCCTTGGAAGTTTGAGGTTGGCTCCAGCCTGGACAGGAGCAGGGGGAGTCCCTGTGGTTAGCTCTGCATTGGCTGGGTGGGCTGAACCTGAGAGTGTGCAGGGGGTGATGGGTTGTAGGAGACACACTCTGCTTCTTGTTCCCTCAGCTCCTGTTGCCTGGGCTGTCACAGGTTCCTAGGGATTCAGTCTGGACTGGTTCCTGTGCCAGCACTTCCCATGTTACATAACCATCTAACAATGGGTTTCCCAGCTTTTGCTGGGCATGTTGCTGGCAGTTCCAGTACATGCCATTTGACATTTTCCAGGATAATCTCTTGGAGTGCCTGTGACTTCCCTCTTTGGAGGCCACTCCAGCTTAGTGCAACAGCGCAGGACCTGGGCTCCAGCCTGTGGTGGGAAGGGCTGTGCCTGGGCTTGGTGGCTTCATCACCTTTTCCCTGGCAGGCCTGGGAGGAGGCAGTGCCTCTGGGAAGACCACGGTGGCCACCATGATCATTGAAGCTCTTGATGTTCCGTGGGTGGTTCTGCTGTCCATGGACTCCTTCTACAAGGTGAGGCTTGTAGCTGTGTTTCAACAAGTGTTTCAACAAATACCCTGTTGGCCTGGCCAGGCTCCTCAATTTGCTGTTGCCCAGAGAAGCTGTGGTTTCCCCATCCCTGGAAACATTCAAGGCCAGGTTGGACAGGGCCTCAAGCAACCTGGTCTAGTGGAAGGTGTCCCTGCCTATGGCAGGGCGTTGGAATGAGATGAGTTTTAAGGTCCCTTCCAACCCATACCAATCTGGGATTATGTGGTAACTCCTGGTAAGGAAACGTTATAGATTTAGGGACAGCCATGTGGTTTTCCCTTCCAGTGGCTCTTGTGGGGCAGGGAAGAGTGACTGGGCTCAGCAGTGGGGAGGGAACTGCCCAGCCACGTGCCCTAAGCTCTGCTCTGTGGCAGGTGCTGACCAAGCAGCAGCAGGAGCAGGCAGCCAGCAATGACTTCAACTTTGACCACCCCGACGCCTTTGACTTCGACCTCATCATCGCCACGCTGAAGAAGCTGAAGCAAGGCAAGAGTGTCAAGATCCCCATCTACGACTTCACCACCCACAGCCGGAAGAAGGAATGGGTATGGCACCCTGAGGGTGTGGGACAAGCTGGGGGATGGCCAGGGCAGGACAGAGGGGGAGCCAACTGCACCCCTCCAGCCCCTGGCCCTTGCAGATTGGTGCTGTCACCCTCTGCTCTGTGCCTGGCTCAGGGTGTGTTTTTTGGGTGAGCTGTCACAGTCACAGCCCAGAGAGATTCCCTGGGACAGGGCACCTCTGAACAGATGTTCTGTGCCTAACCACATCCATTTTGACTCCACAGAAAACCCTGTATGGCGCCAATGTGATTATCTTTGAAGGCATCATGGCATTTGCAGACAAGGAGCTCCTGAAGGTGAGGAAAGGTTTTGAAGCAGTTCCAGGGAGAGATGGTGGGAGGATGTTCTCTCCTGAGGTCCTGCAGCAGGGAGGTTACTTTTTCTTCCAGGTTACACCAGATGCTGCAGCACTTCCCCGAGTAGGAGAAATAGGCTTTGACTCAGCAGCCAGGGAAAAGCCCCTGGCAAAGGTCAAGTATTTCAACAAATACCTCAATCTCAGCCATTCGTGCCCAGGAAACAGGAGCTGAGCAGTAACCTGGTTCCTGGCAGTGCTGGTGCATAAACACAACTAGAAATAGCCCACCTCCACACTGCATGCTGCAGTTTGCACAGCCAGAGGCAAAGTCTGCTGAACTTCTGCTGCACAAAGTCTGGTGTTCCTAGCTGGAGTCATCCAGCACTTCAGACTCTCTTGGGGATTATTTGGATATATCATAGGATCACAGAATGCTTTGGATTAGAAGGGACTTTAAAGCTCATCTTGTTCCACCCCCTGCCATGGGCAGAGCCACTTTCCACTCCAAGCCCCATCCAACCTGGCCTTGGACACTTCCAGGGATGGGGTAGCCACAGCTTCTCTGAGCACCCTGTGCCAGGGCCTCAGCACCTTCACAGGGACAAAATTCCTCTCAATATCCCATCTAACCCTTCCCTCTGGCATTGTGAAGCCACTTCCCCTTGTTCTGTCACGCCCAGCCCTTGTCCAAAGTCCCTCTCCAGTTCTCTTGGAGCTTCTTTGGACACAGGAAGGGCTCTAGGGTCTCTCCAGAGCCTTCTCTTCTCCAGGCTGTACAGCTCTCTCAGCCTGTCTCCATCCCTCAGAGCATCTTTGCAGCCCTGACAAATGCTGCAGCAGGCAGTGAGCCATACACAGACTTAGCCAAGCTCTGTCTGAAAAGTTTCCTCCCCTGCCAAGTGAGAGCTTGGGTTGCACTTTCCTGGAGCAAGGATGACCTCCAGTGGGCAGCTGGGTGAATCCCCCAGGAGACTCCACTCAGCGTCCCCACTCCTGCCTCTTGCAGTTAAGGACAGTCATGAGCTGCCCTGCTGTGCTGGGCTCCTTTCCAGCATTAATTCCCTGCCGGTGGGAGAGGCTTGGAATGAGATGATCTTTAAAGTCCCTTCCAGTTCAAACTGTCCAAGGATTCTTTGATTAGGAAGCCAGTGCTTGGTGTGTGTCACGGACAGTAACTCCTCATCTCCTCCTCGCTCTTAAATGACATCCAGACAAAATGTTGGAGCTGGTTAGCAGTAGGGGCAGAGTTTGGAGCAGGACAGGTCTCAGGGGATGTGGGAATAAGGTGGCAGCAGGGGGCTGACAGCAGCACCAGGCAGGTTCCAGGGAAAAGCTCTGCTGAGGCTGGAGCAGAGCAGAGCCAGGCCTGTTAAACGGGTGCTGGGCTGGGCTCAGCCCCGCTTGGGGCAGCAGGGGAAGGTGGGTTGAGTCCCACACCTGACCAGGTGGGATTTGTCCCCTCCCCTCTCCTTTCAGCTCTTGGATCTGAAGATATTCGTGGACACGGACTCGGACATCCGCTTGGTGCGCCGCCTGCGCAGGGACATCAGCGAGCGAGGCCGGGACATCGAGGGGGTCATCAAGCAGTACAACAAGTTTGTCAAGCCCGCCTTCGACCAGTACATCCAGCCCACCATGAGGCTGGCAGACATCGTGGTGCCCCGAGGTACCTGCCCAGGGCAGTCCACACCGCTCAGAGACCCTCCCCTCTGCCCTCAGCTCTGGGCTCTGTGGTTCTGAACCTTAACCCTAGGAATAACCCTAGGCAGAGCAGTGGAACCCTCGTGGGGGTAAGGCTGGTGCCAAGCAGATGGATGGGGGGAGCCGTGGTGTGGCAGTCCTGTATTGTATTTGCGGGGTGCCCTCTTGGCAGGAAGGAATGATGAATCTGATTTCATGTTCTCAGAAAGTTAATTTATTATGATATGATATTATATTATAGAATGCTAAACTATACTATACTAAAGAATACAGAAAGGATACTTACAGAAGGCTAAAAAGATAATAATGTTTTATTTCATAATACTTTCCAGAGTCCTGATACACTTTGGCATTGGTTGGCCAATAAGTTAAAACAATTTACAGCAACCTGTTGGATAAACAATCTCCAAACACATTCCAAAGCAGCAAAACACAGGAGAGGCAAATGAAATAAAATGGTTTTCCTTTTTTTCTGAGGCTTCTCAGCTTCTCAGGAGAAAAATCCTGGGGAAAGGGATTTTTAAGAAAATATAAATGTAACAGTCCTGTGTTCCCCTTGGCATGCCTTTTGTAGCTGCAGAGTCCCTGGAACTTTGGGCTTTGTGGTTTTCTGAGCCCTAACCCCAGGTGTAACGCTAACGGATGTGGTTTAGTGGTGAGCTTGGCAGTGCTGATTTAATGGTTGGACTCAATGATCTTAGAGGGCTTTTCCAACCTTTACAATCCTGATTCTGTGATTCTTTTGCTTTTGGTCTCTCCAGGGAGTGGAAACACTGTGGCCATTGACCTGATTGTTCAGCACGTCCACAGCCAGCTGGAAGAGGTGAGAGCTGCCCGGTCCGTGGGTGCTGAGGGGGATTCACAGCCTTGCTTGGCAGGGAGCTGTGCTCTGGGTGCCCAGGTGGGAATGGCCTGGCTTCTCCTGTGCTCCAGGTGTGGGAGTTCCTGTGAACTCCTCCCAGCCCTCTCCCTCAGTCCAGTGAAGGAAACTGCCTTCTCCCTGCTGGGTCCTGGCTCCTCTGCCAGCTGTGGTCCAGCTGCAGCTTCCTTCCCTCCCTGGGACAGCAAGTCATGAGGGGACAAACCAGCCACCCTCCCATGACCTGAGGGATGTGTCCCCCTGTCTGCAGCCCTCCCAGGGCCAGCATTGTCCAAAACTCTCCACTGCTCCTGGTCTTTTCCTCTTCCCTCCCATGCAGACACTGCTGCAGTCTTTCCAGTCAGGAGCCCACTTCTCTTCTGTGCTGCGTGCAGCTCCTGGGTTTGAAAACTCAAAGTCTTGTCACGTTTGAGCCCAAATCCAGGCCCATGCTCCATCACTTCCCCACTGCTGGCTTTAAGTCTTCTCCTGTTGGTCCTGGGCCAGTTCTGACCAATGGTTTGGGACCCTACAATGAACTGATGGCATTTTGTGTTGCTGTCCCTGAGCAGCACAGTGTCCTCCAACCCCACGGTTGTAGCTTTGGTGATGTTTCAGTCGTGGAAATGCTCAGAGTGATGTCCTGGGAAGTGCAGGGAGTGTGACCTGGATATAGATGCACTGGAAAACAAAGGGCTTGATTCTTTCAAGTCTTTTTTTGGAGCTCCCAGGTGGCAGGAGCTGCTCAGCCCTGGGATGGGAGCTGGCACGCCTTGGCATCCCGCTCAGGATGGAATGCTCAGGAGGGATTGCTCTTCAAAGGTGTCTTGGCAGTTTCTTCCTCCTGGAGTACCTGGCTGCCTGAATTCCCAGCACTAAACTCTGGTTGGGAAGGTGGTTTCTAAACCCTCGGTCACAGGAGGAAGGATCCAGCATCTCTGCTAGTGCCAGGCTGAGGCAGAGCCCAGGAAAGGGGAATGGCTGTTTCCCTCAGCTCCTGGGATCCAGCCAGGGAATACCACAGCAAACCCAGCACCCCCAGGGTGCCACTGTGAGCCAGGCAAGGGGTTGGCTTGGGGAGGGCTTTCCTGACCTGGGGAGGGGAAGAAGGGCAAAAGGCTGCATGTGAATTCAGGAAAATACTCCTATTTTTCCTTTTTTTCTGTCTTGAAACGACCCTGGTGTTGACAATGCTTAATACCGGTTGCGTTGTGTCTTTGTGTTGCTGCCGCAGCGTGAACTCAGTGTCAGGTAAGAGCCCTCACTCTGTCCTGTCTGTGCAGCCGAGGCATTTCCAATGCCAGGCACTGCTTGGCCTCACCCCGACCCACGGCGGCACCGGCAGCTCGCCTGGAGCGCGGCCCTGTCACCTGCACGGCGGCAAAAGGCCACCTTGCCTTGGCTTTGGGATGGCAGGGACAGGGCTGCTCCCCAGGGAGGTCCTGCCAGCCTGAGTGCAGACCCCTGAGGCTGGGACAGGGCCAGGTTTGTGCCTGGGGATCCCCGGTCTCTGCAGGAGGGGAGGCTTTGCATCCTGAGGTTCTCTTTTATTTCTCTTCGTCCTCTAAAATGAACGATTTTCAGAGCTGCTCTCCATCCCTGATGATTAAAGATTGTTAAACATCAATTATTAGATTAGTCAAAGCATCTTGCAAAAAGGGTGGAGAGTGACTTTTTAAATGGGTAGATAGTGATAGGATGAGGGGGAACAGTTTTAAACTAAAGGAGGAGAAATTTAGATTGGGTAATAGGAATAAATTCTTCCCTGTGAGGGTGGTGAGGCCCTGGCACAGGTTGCCCAGTGGTGCTGTGGCTATCCCATCCCTGGAAGTGTCCAAGGCCAGGTTGGATGGGGCTTGGAGCAGCCTGGCATAGTAGAAGGTGTCCCTGCCTGTGGCAAGGGGTTGGAATAAGATGGTCTTTGAGGTCCCTCCCAGCCCAAACCAATTTGATCTTGAGGGTGGTGGGAGCCCTGGGCCCCTCACTGCACGCAGGGATCTGCCTGGAGGCACCCACAGGAGCATAGCACCTTCACATGGCCAGAGGTACCAACTTTCCCTCAGCTTCTGGAGGATGCAGAACCTTTTCTGGAGGACTAAGAAAATCCTGCTGCCTAAGTCCAGCAGGATTTCTAAATTCTCAGTATCTGCAGGTGGATGCTATAACATATATATTGAATTACTTAACCTCTTCAGCATGGGGCCCCAGATGGGATTTCAGCTCTTCTGCTTCCATTAAGAAGCCACCTAGGCTTTCAGGTATTCTTTCAGGGAGCAGAGGGAATGCATTACTGAAGATGGGTTTCCATTTAGATCTCCATCATTGCTTGGAGACACTCAACTCAAGTAACCTTAAGATTTACATTTGACATACAATGAGCTTTTAAAATAACTGAGATGAGCAGGGAAAAGGCTCTGCTTTACTTATCTCTGCCTCAGTCAGTCACTCCCTAGACTAGACAAGTGGATGTTTTATTTTATTTCCCTTTGCTTGTTTAAAACCCTGGGGCCTGATATTTCCATACAGACACGTAAGCTTCCCTCTGTGTCTGGAGGTCCAGGTGGCAAAGTGCTCTTTAGTATGAAGAGAAATGTGTGGCTCTCATAATGGCAGGAATAACACTAGAGAGGAGGCTAATACGTGTGCAAATATATATGTGTATATAGAGATAGGAAATTTTATGCGTGTATAAGTATCTATCTATCTTTCTCCTCCTTAATTAAAGAGTTGCTCAGTACAGGTGATCTTCTGTAGTTAAAAATTGGGTCTTTAATATATCCATAAAGTGTTAGAAGTTTTATGATAGCAAGTTCGGAAAGGTAACTGTGACCTCTGAAAACACCTCCATGATCACCACACCCACAGGTGGTTTTATCTTCTGTTTAAAGCTTCCATTTATGCCTTTGACAGAAAATCTGGAAAAAAATTCCTGCAAAAACCCAAATCTGTTGCTGCTGCTGGAGCCCCAGTGCTTTACTGCTGCTGTGGTCTCCCCCAGCCCCGCTGTCTCTCTGCAAGGGGAGTGGGGTGGATGGAGTCACACCGAGTGAGATGTGCCTGGCAGATACAGGCTTTTCTTCACAAACAGTTCCCCATCCTCTTGTCTGGAATGGCTTCATCTAAATGTCACAGTTGTTCTGGAGTCACTGCTGTTTGGTAGTGCTGGGGACACAGGGTGGGCTTTGTGCTGGTAGGATAAAACCTGAATGCTCCGATCTGGCCCCAGTCCCAGGTGTGTCTGTGGTCCTTGTGCCCCGGGCTGCATCTCCTGGCCAAGTGACTGGCTGGGACAGGCAGGGAGTGCCTCTCCCCACTTACATGGGTGAATTCTGGGGGGTTTAAAGCCTGTGGTGCCTTCCTTGGACATGCAAGGCTTGTTTTCATTCTGAAACCACTGGCTCCTGAGGAGCATGCTTGCCTTCCCAGTTAATCTCTCAGAGCACAGCTTGGACCTTAGCATTCTTAGGACATTTCTTATCCAGCTTCCCCCCTGTTTGACTGTGCTCATGCTGGAGATGTGGTTCCATACAGCACTCCCAGGTGGGTATTCCTCCTGGAACCTGGCAGCAGGAGCTGGAGCAGCCAGCCCATGCTGAGGCACACTGCTCCCAGCCCAGCCTGTTCTCCTTCCCTCCTGCCACGCTCCTGGAGCCGGCTCTTTCCAGCCCATTCCCCTCACCAATCAATATTCCCCACCCCCAGGGTCCCGATCAGCTTGGCGTGCCCTTTGCCAATTGTGTCTTTAAATATCAACCCGTGGCGCAGTTTAACAGCCCTTGTTTGAAATGTCAGCCCTGAAAGGCAGCCGTGTACGTGTTTGAAATGCCTTGACTGCATCATCTCCTTTGTAGCTGGATGTCTCTTGTCTGCTTCCTGCTCGATAGCATGTTCCACAAAGAGCCAAGGATGCTCCCTGAAGCCTTCCTGGGAGATGGTCACCCCTTTCTCTCTCTCTCTCTCTTTCTTCTTCTTTCCATTTTATTTTCCCTTTAAAGCCTTTGTTCTCAGGGGGAAAAAATAAGTTTCCAAAATAAGACGTTTTCTTGACGTGCTCATGGCTGCCCGTCTGGATGTTCTGTCACAGTCCTGTGTTGGCAGGGGGGGACAGGAGGCATCACAGTCCCTCCTTCCCTCCCAGGATGGGCAGGGGGTGACACAGTGGATGGCTGCTGGAAGGACTGAGCTCTTCCCTCAGCCTGCAGGCTCTCTCCAGTCATGGTGAGCCCAGGGGAAGGAAAGTCATCCCTGTAGGTTCAGAGCCAGGTTTCTCTCCACATTTCCAGTGTCTTGGCTTTCAGTGTTCTCCAAGGCTTGGAGATCATCATCATGCAGGAGGGGAACACCCCTGGCAGCCCACAACCATTTTGCCTGGGAGCAGGGCAGGTTGGATGAAGGACTTTTACGTTGGACAAAGGTTGTTGGCCTTGAGTGCCTGTGCTTGCTCTGAGCTTGCATTGGAGCCCTCAGTGAGACTTGGCATGAGCCCTGGAAGTGTGGAGAACCAGGTTGGATGGGGCTTGGAGCAACCTGGTCTAGTGGAAGGTGTCTCTGCCTGTGGTAGGGAAGGTGGAAAGAGCTGATCTTTAAGGTTCCTTCTCCTCCAAATCATTCTAGTGTTCTATGGTTCTACATCCCTCCAAACTCCAAGAGCCACCATTGCAGTGTGGAACTACCTGGGACACAGGTGGGACAGTGTCCCTGCTGTGGCTCCAGGACAGTGAGAGGAGACTCCTCTTGGAGCCAGGAGTGGAGGCAGTGCTGTGGAGAGCAGTGGTGCCATGCCTTGCTCACCAAGGGAGGAGTGTTGTGTCTGCACGGTGATGGCCCAGGCACCAGGCAGGTCCAAGAGCCGTTGATCAATTAGGGGATTTTTTCCCCCCTCTGACTAACGACAGTGCTTTCTCCTCTGTTTCATGTCACGTTTGTCCCTCTTCTCTTAAACTCTCGTGTCTCCTGTCTTGTCTCCCCTGAACATCCCTCCCACCGGGTGACCAGAGGAAGCTGCGCTGGGATATGTGAGGAGACAAATGCTTATGGCAGTGTTTTGGTTGTGACTAACGGCGGGGAGTGGGCGAGGGCTGTGCAGGGTGAGCTGCCTCACTAACCCGGGCAGGGGGTCTTGGGGCAGACAGCTCGTGGGGTCCTGCTTTGCTGGGGCTGTGTGGGCCAGACAGAGGTGGGGGCACTTGAAAGAGAAGCTTTATCCCAAAAATGGGACCTGTTTCCCCAGAAAGTACCATGGGGAGACCTTCACAACACTGAGCGGCTTCCAAGCAGGGTGGTATCCAGACCTCCTGTCCCCACACTGCATGGGTGTCAAAGGAAGGTGTGGAAAACTTGGTGACAGAATGCTGACAGCATTTCTTGGGGGTCTTTTGGCAGCTTGGGATGCTGGGGAGGTGTTCCCACTGCCCGTGGAGGTTGGAAAACCCTTGGTACCTGTGGCAGGGAGCAGGAGTCAGGTGACACCGTGACTGGAGAATGGCTGCCCATTCCACTGGCATGGTGGGATGCTGTGATACGGACCTGGCAGTGATGGAGGGGAAAAGTGCCAGTGGCAAGCTCAGTCCTGTGCTCCTTGGTGAGCTGTGATGATGGGAGATGACCCAAACAGCTCCTCTGGTTTAGGCAACAGCAATTTGTCACCTGGGCAAACTCAGCCAGGGCCATGTGAGGGTGTGTGGCTCTGTGTTGGGGGCCTGTCTCTGCCCCATAAAGCAGATGAGCTGGCAGCCCCCATGCCAGCACCAGCGTCTGCCAAGGCCCTCGCCACCACATGTATTGGCATCCCAGGGGCTGAGAGGGGTTTAGGCAGGGCTGTGCCCCCAGGATCTGTCCCCAGGCCAGCTCTGGCAGGACAGGGAAGGGAGGGCTGTGGGGGCAGAGCTGTGGGTGCTGCCAGCAGGGAGCATCTCCAAGGACTTCTAACCCATGGGACAGCAACTAACGGAGTGAGCTCGCTTCACTGACAGCAGGGCCAGGGCCTTGAGGGCTGCTTGTCCCAACCAGCAATGGGGTCTGCACACAGCAGGCAAGCCCACAGGGGAACCACAACCCATCCATGCTCTCTGCATGGCTGCTAGCTGTCCTGGAGTGTTCCCTGCATGGGGCTCTTGGCTGCTACAGTGGAGTGGAGCTGGTAAAGCAAGAAGGAGCCCTTAAGTACCCACAGGCCTTGGGAATGTCTCATTTGGTGTTGGTTGGCCAAGACCAGGAGATGGCTGTGTGGATGGAGGCCTCAAGCTCTGCCCTCCTCCATGCCTATCCATCTTCTCTGTCTTCCTCTCTGCTTGCCTGCCTCTGTGTGCCATTAATCCAGGTTTCTGCTTGATTTGAAATCTTAATCGTGCAGTGCTTTCATTTGCTCTCTTCCCTGCCTCCCTGACATCTCTGTGTTTTTTGCCGGATGCAGCCGCTGGCACGTGTGTGATCTGACGTGTGGCTTTCCAACCCCAGCCCTCCTCCCAGACAGAGCTGCTTGTCCATCCTGCCCAGCCTTGTGGAAGCCAAATGTGACCTTCTTCTCATTACTGCCACTCTCCCAGGGAGAAGTGACTAATGGGGCTGCATTGTGTGCTTCCCCGTGAATGGTGTTCCCTTGATCCCAGAATAGCTCCCAGCCCTATTCGTTATGTGGAATGAGTCACACAGAGCCAGTCCTGTCCAACCATAAAGTCTTGAAGCTGTTCCCAATTTGGAATGGGCCAAGTGGTCTCTGAAGTAGTCACATTCCAGATATGTGCCAGCCTGGCTGCCTGTCCAATTCCTCGTGACATCTGGCACTTGTAGGTCAGAGACAGCCACAGCAGCCCCTCCTCACCCCGTGAGTCCAAGATCCATCAATAGATAAGATTCTGGAATAAGAGAAGGTTTTGATTTTATTTACTACTTTCTTCCCAAGCAGTGGAAACCAAAATGGGCCAGCCACCTGCAGAGAAGCTGTGACTGCCCCATTCCTGGAAGTGTTTAAGGCCAGGTTGGATGAGGCTTGGATTAACCTGGTCTAGTGGAAGGTGTCCCTGCCCATGGCCCAGGGCTGGAACAAGATGGTCTTTAAAGCCCTTTCCAACCCAAACCATTCTGTGATACTGAGTGAGCTGTCCAGCAGGAAGGGCAGGTCCTTGGGCTGCAAGGTCACCCTAACTCCAGTGGCCCTGGTTTGTGGGTGCAGGTCCCTTTGCCATGGCAGGGACCAGGCAGGGCTGGCTGCTCACTCAGCTCAGCTGGATGGCCTCTGTGTGTGTTTGCAGTGTGAGATGGCATCTGGGAGGATGGCTCAGGCCGTGTGCTGTGCTCCAGCCTTCAGGCAGCCTTCCCCAGACCTTCTGACCATGTGTTTGGTTTTCAGGGCTGCCCTGGCCTCTGCCCACCAGTGCCACCCCCTTCCTCAGACCCTCAGTGTGCTGAAGAGCACCCCTCAGGTGAGGGGCATGCACACCATCATCAGGTAAAGCCTCTGCTGTGGCTCCTGGGGTGGGATGGGGCTCAGCTGCTGATGGGATGGGCTGGCCTGTCTTTGGGCTTCCCAATCTCACTTTTGCCTGTCAGTATGGCTTGGAGACACAAGGTGGGGCAGATGGTGGTGGCCCCTGCATAGAGGAGCTGTGCAGTTACTGCTCAGTGGTCTTGCCAACAGTTTTTCTGCTTTTTACCTTGAAACAGCACAGTTTCAGGCTCAGATGGTGCAAACAAGAACTAGGAAGGGGCAGGGACTGCCAGACCTCTGGCAGCATCTCCTGGCACACATTTTGATCCAGAGCTGACGTTGCCTTTCCCTCCCCTCTAGAAACAAGGAGACCAGCAGAGACGAGTTCATTTTCTACTCCAAGAGGTTGATGCGGTTGCTGATTGAGCACGCGCTCTCCCTGCTCCCATTCCAGGTGGGTTCAAGGCTGTAGGTGCTGGATTTCCTCTCTGATTCCTAACCCTCAACTGCTGGGGAGCCAGGACTGTCCTGGTGCTGCTCCTCCAACTTTCCCCATGGACCATTGAATTAAAAAGTGCCAGGACTCCCCAAGGCCATGGAGCAGTGCTGTGGCCCTGGGTGACAATTCTTTGTCGAGTCTTGGTGTCCAAGGGTCCAGCCCCTTGCTTGCTGACTCCAGGGCTCCCATGAGAGCCACATCAGAGCCCCTGGTAACTCTTCTCACATGTTTTTTGTAGAGTTGCACAGTCCAGACCCCTCAGGGACATGACTACGAAGGGAGGACATACAGCGGGAAGCAAGTAAGTGGAAGCCATTGAGACCTGCCTCGTGGGGGTGCACTGGAAGCCCTGGCTGCCATCAGGCTGGGTTCGGTGCCTGCTATCATGAGTATTGACACTCTGTACCACCAGGAAAGGCAGGTTGGTGACCAAGGGTGCCATCAGCTGTGTCACTGTGCCACTCATGCCCTCTCACTGAGGGTGGACTGGGAGGGGCGCAGCCCTCTTGGAAGGGATGTGCTTTTAGGTTGCCCACTAGAGTCCCCCGCTGCTGAGACCCAGTGTGGGCTGGTGGCAGCTCCTACCCCGTGCACCCACCCTGGCCATGTGCTGCAGATCACCGGGGTGTCCATCCTGCGAGCGGGAGAGACCATGGAGCCGGCGCTGCGCGCGGTGTGCAAGGACGTCCGCATCGGCACCATCCTCATCCAGACCAACTGCAACACGGGCGAGCCAGAGGTAAAGCCTGGGCTGCTGAGGGCATCTCCTGGTGTTAACCCGTGTGCAGGGTGGGGCCGTGGCTCGGGTGTTTCCTGACAGCCCTTCAGCGACCCAGCAGTTTGTCTTGGCAGGGGTTGAGTGCTTTGAAAGCTGCTCAAGTGGGTTTTGCCAGCAGGCTTGTGCCCACAGGGGCTGGTTTGTGCTGGCTCCTCTGAGCTGACAGCCAGGGTCCAGGGACAGAGGGGCAGGAGGGATCCTTCACTCCTCAAAGAGAAGGGCTCAGGTCGCTCCATTTTCCTGCAGCCTCTAAGCTGCTTTCTGTTTCCTCCACCCAGCTCCACTACCTGCGGCTGCCGAAGGACATCAGCGAGGACCACGTCATCCTGATGGACTGCACGGTCTCCACGGGCGCTGCGGCCATGATGGCAGTGAGGGTGCTGCTGGTACGGACGGGTCAGGCAGGGGGATTGCTCTGGAGCAACCTGCAAAGCACCAGCCACAGCCGTGCTGAGGGGATGTGCCTGGAACTGGCTCCTCTGCGGGAAGGAGGGTGTCAGGATGCACAGCACAGGGTAACTCACCCTGAGCTATCCCTGTGCATTTCCTGTAGGATCATGATGTCCCAGAGGATAAGATCTTCCTGCTCTCCCTGCTCATGGCAGAGATGGGTGTCCACTCGGTGGCCTATGCGTTCCCCCGGGTGAAGATCATCACCACGGCTGTGGACAAGAAGGTGAATGACCTCTTTCGGATAATCCCCGGCATCGGTGAGTGTCCTGCTAGGAAGGACTTGTGGCGAGGGGATTTTTAGTGCTTCTGGTGGGGAGAGGACATGGTTGTCAGCAGCACTTTAGGTCTGGCCTTACGTTACCCAGAGCCCCACTGCCCCTCGTGGGTCCTGCTTCCCCGGGTGTCAGGATCACCGTGCTGGTTCTGGGGGCTGCGGGGCAGCCATCGCCTTGTCAGCAGCAGGAGCTATTCTCTGCCATGAGCCTCCTCCAGCCCCAGGCAGAGAAGTCAGGCTGGGACAACTAGAGCAACCTTGTGCCCACCTCCTTCTCTCCACCTTCTACAAGTTCACCCAAAATAAGCTCGCAGTGTTCTGTCCTCACCTCTACTGTGCCAGGAAACACCTTCCACCGGGTGGTAAACCAGCCTACAGGCTGCTCCAGTTTTGCTGCCACTCAAGTTTTCCTGCTGTTCAAGCTGTCAGATAAACCTGCTCTGGTCCCCTTGCCTGCTCTGATGAGGACAGGCAGTAGGATGGGTCTCTAGGCTCCCACAGTGCTGCACTCTGACTCTCTGTCTCCCCACAGGGAATTTTGGTGATCGGTACTTCGGGACGGATGCTCCTCCTGACTGGAGCGATGATGAGGATGCTCTTAGCACTTAGCTGGATGTGGAGGTGCCACTGGCACCAGGCAGCTTCAGCACCGCACCTTAACCCCTCTGTCCAGTGCAGATTTCTCCTTGCTCTCACCAAGCATAGATATTTTTTTCAAATATTACATCGGAGATCTAGGGCATATTTTTTCAGAGAAACGTAAATCCTAGTTTGACTTTTTGGGCAGTCACGTGTCCCAGCATAGAGTGGAGTTAATTTATTTTAATTTAAATATTTGCCTATATAACTTATTGGAGATATTTTATAAAGAACAATAATAAATTTTTTCTCTGGTTTTCTTGAACTGAGCCATTCTTTGTCACTTCCCATGGGTGCCTAGAAGGATTTGTGACCCTTCAAGACTACAGTCCTGGGATGGGAGATGCCGTGGGCAGTGGTGGGAGATAAAGAATGCCACACCTTCAATCCAGATGAAGACATGGTGCCAGAGTAAAGGCGGTTCCTCCTGCCTGAAGGGAAACCAAAGCTATTATAGTCTGTCCAAAGGAGCTACACAAGGATGAAGAAGGTTCTGGAGGGAAAGCCATATGAGGAGCAGCTGAGGTCACTTGGTTTGTTCAGCCTGGAGGAGACTGAGGGGAGAAACTGTCAGGGTCTGCAGTTTCCTCCTGAGGGAGGTGGAGGGCAGTCACTGATCTCTGTGTATGACCAGGGACAGGACCTGAGGGAACATCTGGAGCTGTGTCATGGGATGTTTTAGGTTGGATATTAGGAAAAGGTTCTTCCTCCCCAGAGGGTGGTTAGGCACTAAAACAAGCTCCCTAGGGCAGTGATCATAGTCCCAGGGCTGACAGAGCTCATGGAGCATTTGGACAGCAGTCTCAGGCACATGATGGGATTATTGGGGTGTCCTGTGCAGGGCCAGGAGATCCAGGAGATCAGGAGATCCAGGACTCAATGATCCTTGTGGGTCTCTTCTAACTCAGGCGATTCTGTGAGGTTCAGCTGGGATCATGAAGAAGCACCAAGTGCCTGTTGTGAGTTCAGCAGCCAAAGTGAAACAGAGCTCGCCCCAACCGCAGCTCTTACTGAATCAGAGCTGCTCGAGACATGGAGAGCAGCAGGTCCCGTACCTGACCCAGGCACAGCGAGCAGGATGTGACCTGTCACACAGTTGGGTCACCTCAGTGGAAGGGGAGCTGGCCCCACATGAGGGGCGTTCAGCCAGAGGAGGCTGTGACCTCCAGGGCTGAACACGGAGCATTTTCCTTACCTGCAGGATTCAAAGTTCCAACCCAACACCTTTGTGCAGGAGATAAGCATCCCAAGAGGAGCAAAGCTACCTCGTCTCTGGGAATCCCTGGCCTGGAGCCAGCTCCTGAGGGGTGAGGCAAGGCAAGCAGGTGCTGCTGGCAGCATGGGATTGGGAGGGGGCTGCTCTGCCAAGCCCTCACCAAAATGGAGAGTCACCTGGTGATCACTCAGTGTGGGCTTGGGTGTGACGAGCCCAAAATAACCGCCCCTGTTCTGCGGCACACTGTGCAAATTCTCAATCAGATTTAAAAGAAAACACACCCGAGTTCCTGCCAGCACTTGGTGAAAGAAGGAGCCCTCCGCTGAAAGCCACTCTCAGAGCCAACACTGACACTTGATTAGTGTCTGCTAAAAATAGTTCCCTGTGTGGGTGGAAGGAGAGCTCATGAGCACAAAACGGGGGGACAGGCAGGCATGGGGGGGTTTAGGCTGGAGCAGCAGGTCAGCAGCAGTGGGTCACCAGGTCCATGGTATGGACAGGGACACCTTCACTAGACCAGGTTGCTCCCAGCCCCATCCAACCTGGCCTTGAATGCTTCCAGGGATGGGATGTCTACATGTCACTTACTCTGGGGGGCAAAGCACCTCCTCTCCCCCAGCATTGTTGGTGTCTGCCTTCAGGTAACATGCAACAGGGCAAGAGAAAAAAATTGTGTTGGGGAGGTTTAGAATGCATTCACTGAAAGGATGCCCGGACATTGGAACAGAGCAGTGGTGGAGTCACCATTTTTCCTTAGCAGATCCCTCTTTTACCTCAGATCTACATTTTCCCCCATATAGAGCCACATTTTTACTCAGATCTGCACAACTGAGTCTGAGTTTGAGAAGGGTTTGGATAAGGCTCTTGGGCACGTGGTGTGGCTTTGTGTCCTGTGCATGGCCAGGAGTAGGATTCCATGATCCTAATGGGTCCCTTCAGAATATTCCATGGATCAATTCAGCATATTCTATGCTTCTGTGATTATTTTGCTTCAGTAAACCAGCCCTGTGCCCATGCCAGCAGCTCCCACTGGGCAACTGCTCCTGCCTCTGGCAAACATGGAGCCATCACCTCCCTTCCCACCCCGTGGGCTGCTGCTACCACTGGAATATATGGAGCCATTCTCTGTCCTCCCGCACTGCGCCTGCTTGAGGCAGCCATGGCTGATTCATCCTCAAACGCCGTTTCTGGTGACTTCCGCCCCCGCTGCCGCCATTGCCCTCACACCCCGGCGCCATCTTGGATCCCTCGCGCTCCCTGTCAGCCCGCCACGTTCCTCTCCCTCACGCCGCCATTATCAGCACTATCAGACCTAATTTAGTTTCAGGGTTGCAAGACAGAATTTGTTTTGTTTGTAACAAGCTGCTGGTAGCAAATGCCACGTCGGAAACACTGCGTGGGCGGCAGGCGGCTCCCTCCCTCCCCTCTGCCTGTGCCTCACTGCCCCCCCAGCCGCAGGTTCTGAGGCCATGCTGGCCACGGGCTGGGGTGGTGAAACACAGCAAAAACCACTCTTTTCTTGCCAAAATATCAGTCTAAGGCTTTCTGGGCAATTCCGGCCATGAGGCTTCATCACAGCAGCGTGGCGGATGCAGCAGGTCTCTGCACCAGTGCAAACCGCCCCGCCAGGGTCACGCCACGTTTTCAAGCTGAAAAAGTTGAAAAAGTGGTGGGTTTTGAGCATGGCTGAGCCCAGTGCTGTGTAGACCCTGACTAGGACATGCACTGCTCCATCTCCCACCTGCTGTTGGACAGCCCAGCCAGGAGCGTGTGGCACATGGCGACATTCCCTAATGTCTCCTCCATAACACGGAGACACTGGAGAAAAGGACTGAAAAAGGAAAAAAACTCTTTTTTCTCATTGCAAACCACACTTCCAGGTGTCTCATTAAATCAGACCCAAAAAAAAAAAAAAGAGTATTTGGTTTATTGCTATCACGAGGTGCCCGTGGGCTCAGCTGCAGCACCCTGCTATCACTGGGTTCTACCTCCCATGGCAGGAGCCCCGCTTCTGGCAGTGTCTTCATCCGCCTGCCATCTTCACAATCCCAAAGCCCCTATGTGGGACCCCTGCTCTCAGCAGCACCTGCAGCCCCCCACCATCTTCGGGGTCCCACTGCCCATGGCAGGACCACTAGGAGCAGCTGCGCTTCACTTCCTGCCTGGCATCCCGAGTGACCCAAACCCACAATGAGGTGACCCACAGCAGAGCCTCTTGAGCACCATCCCCTCGTCACTAAAAATAGATCCGAGCGGTTAAAAAAAAAAAAAGCCAGCAGAAAAAAAAAAGCCAACAGGAAAAAAAAGCCAACAGAAAAAAGGAGAACAATGTCTGCTTGACCATCAAAGAGCAACCACAGTCATTTCGAGGCAGGAACACCTGAGACAAGGACTTTCAGGTTGTGTTTTCTCTTTCTGCAGCAGATGGGCTCGGTTTTCTCTGAAATAGATGAAATCTCTCCTTGCCTGAGGTAATAGCATGCAGAGCTCCAGTGCTGGGGGCTGCCCCTCTTGTGGGCTTCTCGGGGCTGGAAAGGAGCCAGGGGAACAATGGGTCAGAAGACAAATTCAATTTCCTTTTGAGCTTGTTACATGCTTGATTCCTATTTGTACAGAAAGGCACAGATCATGTGGGCTGAAACCTGTGTGCTGGCCCCAGCACTCATCTGAGAACTTGGCAATTCATTGCAGGAGTGGGCTGTGCCATGAAGGTCACCTCCTGCACCTGGGTCTGGGTGAGCAGTGTGTCACAGCTCTGCAGACCTTCAAGACCTGGCGTGTCCAGCCCATCGTTCTGCAGAGCACAATCTTGACCAATTGTTAAAAAAATGCTGAATTTCCATGTATTATAAACAAGGAGATTTGTCAGGGCTGGCATCAAACAGCCTGCTCCGTTAGCAGAGGCGGTTTTCAGAAGTCGATATCGAAACAGTGGTAAAAAATGGGGTATTTTGAAGCTGTTGAATGAGCAGTGCTGTGCACAGCGATCAGCCGATATATCCGACAGGCCAGACATGAAAGTGTTTATCTGGTGCCACTGGAAACTTGTTCAGCAGCACCTTAAATCAAACTCATCTAAGCCATCTGCTGCTTAAAGTGATCCTTGGCCAAACTCACAGAGGCATTCAGAAACATCAAAGATATTTAAAAGGCTTTATTTGACCTCAGTGCCTTTGAACAAGGGCATGAGGTGACAATACCAAGTGAGAATGGATCCAAACTGACAGAGGGCTGGGTTAGATTGGACATTGGGAAGAAATTCTTCCTTGTCTCAGTGGCAAGGCCCTGGCACAGGTTGCCCAGAGAATCTGTGGCTGCCCCATCCCTGGAAGTGTTCACAGCCAGGTTGGGCATGGCTTGGAGTAGTGGAAGGGGTCCCTGCTCATTGCAGGGAATTTTCAGTTTACCTTTGTTGAATCATAGACCCCCACAAGGAGCTGGAAGGGATTTAAAGTTCATCTCGTTCCAGCCACGGGGTCTTTCCCCTCCAGATCAAGAGACACAGCTCCAGGTGGGCCTGGATACTTTGACAGGTTACGTATTTTCATAGCAAGCAGTTTTCCTCCTTTCCCTTTACCCTCCTCTATTTTACAGCCAAAATTGTTCTTCTGCATACACCGAGGATAAATGAAATATTAAAATGTATTCCTCTCATCCAGATCTTTCCTTTCTGGGTTATGCATTGCTGGAGGATCTGCTGGCTGAGACAGAGTGAAGGGGGATGCAGACAACCCCATAACCTCTGGTCAGAGCAGGACAGAGCTTTGTGGCTCCATTCAGTAAGGCAGCATTTGGGAAGCACTTTTTTGGGCTGGGGGGTGGGAAGGAGGATCTTCTTGCAAAACTGAGGAGCAGGACTTCTGTACCCCCTTGGGGACAGGGAGGGGGAACCCAGAGCAGTTGGACCGAGACTGCAGGATGGCCTTCAGTTCCCACACTGCCAGGACACCCCTTGTCACCTCTGTCTCCATCTGACAGCACTTTCTCATTTTCAAAAGAGTTGAGAGAACCACCAAGACTCAGATACGTGTCGGGGTTCCATTTCTTGC